GCAAAGACTGTTTAGTACTACAAAGGAAGTTGTGGAGATCTATGATTGCCTACGTCCTGAAGAGACAATACACATTAAAAAAGAAGACTTTGCATTGAATTCTTAACTTCTAAACTGTCATATGTTTTTTGAAAATAATAAATAAAACAGGGTGTAAATAAATCAAAGGCATTTATGTGTATATTATAATATATTAATATATATATTAATATATTATAATATATTAATATATTATAATATATTAAGCAGAGTGATCATGATTAGCATGATTAAAAGACATGTATCCTAATTTAGTAATTCAAAAAATTTATAAAAAAATCTAAGTTATTTTTGACAGAGCTTTTTAAGATAACCTCATTAATACAAATGTTTTTTTTCTTCAAGGTTCTACCTAAGAATATAGTTTGTAAAAATATTTTTTCAGGTTTATTGTAACATGCACCCCGACATTCCTTGGATGTCCACTTTAAAATTGGTATGGGATGTGATTATTGTAATATATTTAGCAGATTAGTATTATCAAAAGGACGCAAGGTTGGCATGTTCAAAGGATGGGTTTCTACTATTTGATAGTATAATATGCTTAACAGAAGACACATGACCAAGTAGATCTTACAGATTATGTAACCAACTAAAAAAAAAATGTCATGCACTGATATAGATTTGACTATGGAATTTAAATGTGAAGTAAGTAGTAATTCATGCTCAGGTAGTTTTTCTTAGCTTTTTGTGCAGCAGATATGGTTAGATGATTTGGAAAAAGCTAACTTTGACCCTTTCATGACCTAGGTGATTTGTTATATGGAAATGCTCTCCCTTGTTTGACCCAGATAATTTGAATAAGAAACATTGTCTCTTATTTAACTCAGGCAATTTGAAATAAGGAAATCTTATCCATTGAAAATATACAATTTACAGTTACTATTTCACAATAGCCATTTTGCAATATGCTGAAACCGAGACAAGAATTCTTGTCTTAATAAGAATTTTTGTCAATATAGCCTAATTCAGGGATTCTCAATCAGAGGGGATTTCAGGGTTTCAAGATGGGGATCATTTACTTTTTTTGTTTTTTTTTATTTATAGAATTTGGAACCCATTATGTGTGGAAAAAAATCCTCTATAAAATCTATGTACTGATATGGAAAAGAATGAAGATTTTCAATAATATATGCATATTTTTTGTAAGGTACCTTTTGAGTCAGACAATTTTAGATAGTGGGGGGTGGGGATGACATTCTGACATATGGTGAAAAGGGTGCATTAAGTAAAAAAGGTTGAAAGCAACCTGAAAGTGAAAGAGAATGGAGAAAACATCAGTGAGGAGAAAGGACAATAAAAGAACAGACTTCAGGAAGACAGAAGATGGCGACTGACATTCCATTTAAATTTTTGAAGATGGTAGGTAGCAGGGAAGCAAGAAATCAGAAAAGAATTTCACAGTTGAGAAGTGTGAGAAAAGAAACAATTAGAATACAACTTTAACAGTAAAACAACAAAACTTAGAAGCCAATGTAGTAGTATGCTTAAATTCATGCAGTCGAAGTACAAAGGAAGAAGAGTTCATTAGGAACACCTACCATGAAAATATTTATAGTAAAGACAGAGAGAAGCTATGTCATAGCAGTGTGAAAGTGACTGAAGCTGTGATGCCAGGTTAGGACTAATAATATCACAAGTTCTTTGAATTTTGTCAAGAATATGGAGGTAGTATAGTATGAGCACTAAACCAGATATGGCAGCAGTAGTCAATGCACAGACAAATGGTAGATTTATAAATGTGTTAGATGAATTCTGACAAGAATAAAATAATTATTATGTCATATGCTGAACTAGGTGCATTAGGCAAAAAAGGTTGAGAAGAACTGGTCCAACTAAATAACTGTAACTTTTGTAATCATTTCATGCCCCTCATAAGAAAGGTGATAATGCCCCTAAGACACAAGTGTTTGCTGAGAATGAAAGAGAATGAGAAAACTTCAGTGAGGAGAAAGGACAATAAAAGAACAGACTTCAGGGAGACAGAAGATGGCGACTGATGTTGCATTTAAATTTTTGAATATTTTAGGTAGCAGGGAAGCAAGAAATCAGAAAAGAATTTCACAGTTGAGAAGTGTGAGAAAAGAAACAATTAGAATACAACTTCTGGTTACATTTACTTCAACAGTAGAACAACAAAACTTAGTAGCCAATCTAGTAGTATACTTAAATTCCTGCAGTTGAGGTACAAAGGAAGGAGAGTTCATTAGTAACAACTACCTTGAACATATTTATGGTAAAGACATAGAGAACCTATGTCATGGTAGTGTGAAAATGACTGAAGCTGTGATGCCAGGTTAGGACTAATAATATTACAAATTCATCTTTGAATTTTGTCATGAATCTGGAGATGCATAGTAGGAGCACCAGACCAGATTTGCCAGTAATATTCAATGTACAGACAAATGGTAGATTTATAAATGTGCAAAATGGATTCTGATGAGAATAATATATTTATTATGTCAGCTTTATTGTATAAATATTTTATTTTTGATTGATGTGCTTTTTATATTGTAATCTTTTTCATTATTCAGACTCATTGTACATTAAGATTTAATAAGGATTTTCTTTATTGTTTATCCTGTATCAGATTACCAATACTAGTAAAATGTGATCAGCATAATTGTATCTCAAAATCCAGAGATCAATGACACATCAACACTGTGATGCACTATAGTAAAATATATCCTTTTTTGGGTAAAATAAATTACTGTGAAATCTAAAGGTTTTATTTATAATTTTAATTTATGCACTGTTGCACTAAAAACTGATTTTGTTTGAATAAAATATTCTTTCAAGTCAACCTTTTTATTTAATATTATTATTTCAATCTGAATTTCTGGGATGATGAGTTATTAATTACACAAGTTATATGTGGACTATTGTTCTCAACTTTGTTGTTGTGATTTCAATCCTTGAGCTGGGCAATGTGTACTTGAACTCAGTGGAAAGAGGGCAAGCAATAATGGAGCAGTACTAAGAATAAGAAGTAGATGAGATATCCCTGGAGATGGACAGTGGAATGAAAACAGTTTCCCCTGTAGATTAAATAAAGTGTTCAGTTCAGAATAACATGTAGGCTACCAGGATCAACATACACCTGATGAAAGTTGAGGTGCACAACAGACAAAATTTTGTGTAAAAAAAACAAAGATGAGGACAATAGTCTGCAGACTATTGTCCTCATCTTTGTTGTTTTTGATCTAGTATCTAATATATATAATATATATATATAATATTTGATTTAGTATCTAATATAATTATTATTTTAAATAAAAATAATAGAAAATTGTTTTAGAGCAAATAAGCCTAAATGATCTATTTTCCAGGGAATTATTTATAAACTGGGGTGATGCATTTACATATGAAGTCACAAAGACTAAGTAGCTACAGCTATTACCCATGAGGCAGGTGAGTACATACTACTTCCTGTGAGTCAGTAACCCTACACTACATGAATAAAAAATATTTCAATTTTCTTTCAATTGGCATTTGATCTAACCCTGTGCCTATTTCTGAAATTAGTTATTTCTTGATAACACGTACAACTGTGAAGTGTCATCAACCCTTGTCTGTTCTTTGGTTTTTGTTTATTTCTCCATTTTAGGAATAAATTAAAGACTTTCACTTAGATTTGCATTGTATTTTTCTATTCTTCAACACTCAACAGAAGACTGATGACCATTGGACAACCTATGTTGGTGCATGACGAATCAACATCATTCTTATACCCAGAACCCATCATTTTGTGAGCAAGATTTAAAATCAAATCAAAAAACACCTTGAGGTAATATTAAAAAGGGTGATTTTAGTGAATCTGTTTTCTTTCATTTTTATGTTCATACTGTCCTACTTATGTCGTCTTTAATGTTTCTCCAAGAAACCTTATCAGTTATAGTTTATTGCTTACAAATCAATTAAATGATTCTTTTGGCTTAGGTATAAAAAAAAATGACATTAAAGAAAATAAATCCAGAAGCCATACTCATAATATACCTTCTCCAATCAATGTTTAGTCAAACTGAACTTTCAGCCGCTTTGTCTACATAAATGGCATTAGAAAATATATAAGTCACATTGTAATCTATATATACATATGTCCACAACATATTCTAGACATTAGAATCATGCTATGAATGGTGTCTTAAAACCAGTCTTTCATTTGTTATTCTTCCTCCATAATGTTTTTTTTCTCTTATTCTCTCGCACTCAGTAAATCATTGAGGCCTTATCATCTTGATTGGGGTGAAATGAATGAAAGGAAAAAATACTGGAGAAACCAATTTTCCTGAAAAAATTTGAGAGAAAGATTTCAACTGACAACAGTACTTGCTGCTCGGTTAAAGAATGCACAATGTTTCCTTATAAGGAAACATTCTAATATTACCATTACCATAATCCATTAATGCTCTATGGGTTAAATTGAAGATGTTGATATAAAATGATCCAAGTAGACAATGGAGGAAAATTTAGTAGAGATGTGAGCAACACCTTTGCTCAGACCAATGAACTTCAAGGAGACATTTTTTTTTCTAGTCTTCTTTTTCTTTTTTAAATGGAAGAAAGAAGAAAGCTGAGGTACATTTGAAATCTTGAATAATTTTATTTTCAAATCAAATGATAAATTCCATTTCTCATATTAATAAATTTTTCTCTTATTCAACATGGCCATTTAGATCAGAGAATGAAAAATACGTTGATTCAGTATAGAGTCACTGTTTAAAAAAATGTTAAGATGAATACCTACTTCTTGTACTTACCATTTGTTTTATTTATTTGAAATCTAAATTTTTTTTTTTTTTTAGATAAATACGTTCAATTCATGACACTTAGTTTTAAGGAGGAAAAAACCATAATCCTTAGAATCTAATTATTATTGCTAAACGACAAAACAGACGAGATTTGAAACATGATTGGGAAAACACGATATAAAAGGATGAAGAGGAAGGGGGAGAGAAAGTCTAAAGAGGAAGGGGGAGAGAAAGTCTAAAAAGGAATGAGAAGGAGGCAACAGTGGAAGAGAGTATAAAAGTCAAAGAGGAGGAACCAAGTAGAGAAGAAAACAAAGAGATAGAAAAGAGATAGGTATGAAAGAAAGAGAAATTAGAAGTACATAGACAGGAAATAATGATAGTATAAAAGGCAAAAGGGGAGAAGACAAGTAGAGGATGAATGAATAAAGGAAAAAGAGGGAGGTATGAAAAAAGGGAGGGAGAAGGAAGTAGGGAAGGGAGAGAAAGAATAAAATGAAGGGATAAGGAGGCAGGCATAGAAAAGAGAGTATGAAAGAGAGGGAGAAAGAAGACAAGAAATATATGAAAGTGGGAAGGAGGAGGCAAGCAAGGAAAAAAGAGTATAAAAGAGAAGCTGATATGACAGAAAAAGTGAAAGGAGAAAGCAAAACATGAAGTGGAAGGATGTAGGTAGGAAAGCAAGAGTAAAAAGAGAGAGCATAGGCAGAACGGGGGGGAAGAGAGAGCATAGGACAGAACGGGGGGAAGAGAGAGAGCATAGACAGAACGGGGGGGAAGAGAGAGCATAGACAGAACGGGGGGGAAGAGAGAGCATAGACAGACGGGGGGGGGAAGAGAGAGCATAGACAGAATGGGGGGGGAAGAGCGAGCATAGACAGAATGGGGGGAAGAGCGAGCATAGACAGAATGGGGGGGGAGAGAGCATAGACAGAATGGGGGGAGAGAGCATAGACAGAATGGGGGGAGAGAGCATAGACAGAACGGGGTGGGGAAGAGAGAGCATAGACAGAATGGGGGGTGGAAGAGAGAGCATAGACAGAACGGGGGTGGGAAGAGAGAGCATACACAGAACAGGGGGTTGGGAAGAGAGAGCATACACAGAACAGGGGGGAAGAAAGCGCAAAAACAAGTGGAGGAAGCAAGCTGGAAAGATATATAAAAGAGAGAGTAGGCAGGCAAGAAAAAGAGAGTATAGAAATGGAGAAAGAGAGAGAGAGAGAAAATGAAGAGAAGAGGAAAAAATGAGAGAAGGGAAAAGAAAAGAGGCATATTGAAGTATAAAAGAAACAGAGGGTTGTGAAGAAAAGCTAAAACAAGGAGAAAGTAGGAGGTAGGAGAAAAAGATAGTCAAAAGAGAAAGGCAAAGGAGAATGAGGAATAGCATGAGAAACAGAATAGTGGGAGAGTGTTAGACTGGAGAGAATAATAGGGAGGAAATAAGGAGACTGAAAAAAAAAAATATCCCTTGTTCAAATTTGCAAAATATATATGATATATATATATATATATATATATAGCGAACATGTACAGAGATACCAAAACGTAAATAAATAAAAACCTAAAATAGCTCCCCAACTAATTGGTGTATTGCATTGTATGGTTTCCAACTGAGGCACAAAGCCAAAACATAGAACAGAGAGAGAGAGAGAGATGTTTTTTTTTCATACAGACCTCCATAAAAATACTCAAAATACCAAAGATCTTTACATGAAAGAGGGAAAAATATAATGTACAGAAAATTAGATCTGCACTTCACATGACTACTGTAAATAAAAAAATTTAGTTTAACGTTTCAATGACATATTCAACATTAGAGAATAACAGCAACAAAAAAAAAAATTCTTACATATCTGCATCCCAGCGAGAATAAGAGTGATGATTATAATTATAAAGAGTAAATTATGATGATATTAGTAAAAGTATATAACAATAATAATATTAAATACTAATAGTAAATAATGATAATACAATTATATATTTTTTCTCTCTGATTGTATGGCACTTCATCTGCATGCAATCTTCTGATATAAAAAAAAAACTTGTCTACTGAAGTCGCTTGTTGAGACTTTGGAGCAACTTGTACTACACAAGACAAAAGCAAAACACAGTATTAGTAATAATCATAATATTATGGCTGGTGGCTCACTTTCGAGTATGCCCATCTACTTGGGAAGCTAGCTAATTCTAGGTATTGATACCTTCTAAAACACATTAGTTTCTTCAACAAAGCCAACCTATGGTTTACACTAGTGATTCCCAACCATTTTTTCTTTGGGTTGCATTTTCAGAATGAAAATTTGCTCGCACCTTCCCTAATTTTATGCGATAAAAAGTACATTTAAAAATAAAAAAAATAAAACAAGGATTAAAGGGAGATAACCACAAATTTGAATTCAGAAGATTATCATTGATAACTCTCTCCTCCAATTTGTAGATCCTAGTTATTATATTCTTAATACTTGATATAATTACAAAATATCACAGTGAAAAAAATTGGTCAATAACTATTTATACTGGTGACTCATGCATGCAGTTACAAGTAATCCATAGTAATATTTTAAAGTTTGAATTCATGTTTATTTTTGGCATATGAATTGTTTGAAACTGTTCATAAATCTTTGTCTTTCAATTATTATGCATCACTTGCTATCCTCTTTTGTTGCACATGTGAGGCATGCCACACTGCTTGGGGACCACAGAGTGAACCATATTTACAGTTTCTGGGCAAGAATGCATAATCTGACATGATTGGGAGTTAAACTCTTTAGTCACAATGACTTGTATCTTCAGGCTAGTATAATCAACAATGGATTCCAAACTATTTTGTCTACCCAATTTAACTTACAAGACTTGCTTCACACAAACTATTGTCTCCATCTTTGTTGTTATCACCTTCAACCTTACCTGTATCAACAGTCACCTGAAGAAGACTTATAAAAATTTTATTTTTTATTTAAAGAAAGAATTTTTAAAAAAAGTCAATTTAAATGCAAGACCGTCTAGGTGTTGTTTTTTTTTGTTTATTTACACGTCTTTTGAGGAAGGTGTATTTTTTGTAAGCCGGACGGTGTGTGTGTGCGTGTGTGTGTAAAAAGAAAAAACTGTGCAATTTTTATGACCATTTCGGATCACGATTTGCCGCCAAAATTGTTTGCCAAACTCTGATTTTCTTGTGTAAATTTTATGACCCTTTCGGATCAGGAATAGCCGCCAAAAGTGAAATTTTTAGAAGGGCCTTTTTTTTTCATATATTGGCCAATGAAAATTGAGTTTTCGAGATTCCGGATGGCCCCAAGTGGAGCCGACTTTTCCAAATAAAAGAGAGGACATTAAGAAACGATGGGAGAAGCAATATAACGATTAGGGAACAGAGGCAGAGACGACCGCAGTTCGCAGACCACTTAACACCAACACTCTACATTGACCGGCAAGTGGGCCATAAATCAGCCTTTCTCCAACTACCAAACCAAACCAATCCGGCCTGCTGTCAATGAAAATTCTTCAAAGAAAGTAGAACCAACCTTTTCCAAACCAATCCGCCTGTAGTCAACGAAAATTCTTCTAAGGAAGGAGGTGGGTGCCTTATGTTCTGCTATGTGTTGGTCTCTCTAAAATCTCTGTCCCTTTTTATGTACTTTTGTAAAAAGCTCTAAAACTTTGTCCCTTTTTTGGTATTGTTGTAAAGGGTCTGAAAACTTTATCCCTTCTTTTTGTGTTTTTTTGTTTTTTGAAGGGTCTGAATTTTCAAAACCGGAGTTAAAAGTAAACAATTATTAATTTCATAGCTTGTTTCTGTGGGTATTTCCTTTTAGAAACTCCAGGAAAGTATTGTTATCCTGCCATGTTAGGCTTACAGAAGGAAATTTTTGTGAAACCTTTCTTGTCCTTGTTTGTACCTTTGTGATTATTGTAAAAAAAGTAATTGTACAATAAATGTTTTTTCCTGTTTTAAAATTTTATGCAGTGATTTGTCTTATATTTTAACTTTCGCGCCTACTAACGGCAGTTATCGTTTATTCTGCCAACTAAATTTTGTGTCTGGCACAACGAGTTGGTAGGAGAGTGAAAAGAAAGAAGGAAACAAAAAAAAAAATTTTATAGACTAGAATGTGATAACAACAACAACAAACATGGTAAATAATGTAACTAATTTGTGACATGGTTTTCAAGTACTTGTCACTAGTGCCACAAGATGGGATCATCTCCAAGACAGAAGTCCTTGACAAATCGACCATAGTGAGATTTGAACCTGGATCTTACTGTTGGAAAGCTAACATTTTAATCATTTGACCACACATCCACAAATTATAATAATAATGATAATAACAATAGCATTCAATTATAGTCCTGATCATAATTATTAAATATAATTTTACTTAGATTATTTTCAGTCTGGTACAAAACTGTAAGGAGCAGGTGTCTTGTGAGAATGAAAGCTTACTACCCATCACTTCTTGGAACAGCACCTTACTATTTCATATGAACCAAGTAAGGAAAATATTGACCTGCCATTCAGACTTATATTCAACATTGAAGTAACTGTCAATATTTCTTGTCATTTGAGTGATCCTATTTCCTATAATGCAAAATGTTATGTTCAAATGCTGGTCATAATACAATGACCCTATCCCATAGGTTCACTTGTCATACACCTGCTCAGAGTACCATTCATGTTTATGTTACTGAACTGATGTTTCTTCTAGCTTATGACAAATAGTCTTAAAACAATGCATGCATATTATACAATATTGTTTAAAAATGACTAAACTTTGTCCAATCTGACACAGGAGCAAAAAACAGAATAATCTGTATGGATCAAATTGACTACACAAGTTTATAGTCTAGGGGGTGATGATGCACTTAACCCTGACTGAAGCATCTTTGGTCTACAGATGAGGATTGATGCATTTCTGAATGAGGATCTTCTTTAGGATATCTTTATAATGCTTCCTTGAAGCATCTGTATTTGTGATAGTGATATGACAGCTCACCATAGATAATTTCTGGCAGGCAAAGTCCTTCCATTCTAGAAACATGCCAGACCCAACATAACTGGGTTTTCATAAGAATAGACTTGATACTTAAAAACTTTGCTTTTTTTTAAGGACATTCACATTGATGACAAAATCACTCCAATGGATTTTTAGGATGGATTGTAAAGTAGCACAGGTGGAATCTTTCTAGGAGAGAATGTGGCAGTAACACATAACTCAGAGCTGTATAGAAGAGTTGCCAAAATAGCAGCTCTGTAGACATTGATCTTGGTCTCTGCTTTGAGGTCATTATTTGTCCACACTCTTCATTGTATATATATGAAGAGATCACGCATGTATGCGATCACACACAGATAGCTTAAAATCATCAGAATCATCCATCTCCTCAGCAGCATGTGTGAAGCACTTTTTACTGCCTTTTAACTGACAAACACATAGGATAAAAGAGAGAAAGCACTCAGTGCTAACACAAATAAAAGTCATAATATCATTGTGCCTACCACTAACAAAATAAGAAATAAATTTCACAAATTGCAGCTCAAACAATTTATCTGATTTTTCATACAAGACAAAGCAGATGGTCATTTGTGATGGGAAACGATAATCACATTTCTTCATACCTGTGCTTCCAGGGAAAATCTCAGTGGAAGGAAAAAATCAGATACAAAGCAACATAAATATTATTTAGAATGAAAATAATTCTAAGATAAGATCAACAGAAAGGAAACAATGGTTTAAGTTAATTTTCTGTTTTATTCATTTACTATAGAATCATTTAATACTCACTGGAACTGGAAATTCCACAGATGTTCACATTTTAGATTATTCATTCTCTCATGCTTTGCCTGTATCTTCTCATTCACTCCCTTATGCCTTCTAATAAAGTAAGTTTATCCATTCTCATATCTCAGCTTTTCTCTTAACCTTTGCTTGTATCTTCTCATTCATTCCCTTATCCCTTTAAGTACAATTAGGATTATCCATTATCTCAAGTCTCAGCTCTACTCTCACCCTTTGCCTGTATCTTCTCATTCTCTCCCTTATCCCTTCCAATGCAACTAATATTATCCATTCTCTCATGCCTATGCTTTTCTCATTCCCTTCCTTCAAATACAAGATTATCCATTCTCTCATGACTCAGTTTATCTTTCCTCCTTTGTCTGTATCTTCTCATTCTCTCCCTTATCCCTTCCAATGCAACTAATATTATCCATTTTCTCATACCTCTGCTCTACTCTCACCCTTTACCTGTATCTTCTCATTCCCTCCCTTATC